TGTCTGGTCGCTGAATGGTTCTACAATTTCTTTATTAGGAACCACGTTTCTAAAATGTCATAAGTGGATGATGTATCCTTTGATGCATGTACATTCTGTGTGGGGACCCTTCCTTCATTCCTGTATAAAATAAAACTAATCACCATTTGGAAAATATCTTGCAGAGAAAATCTATCATAATCCCAAATGAATGATCATCTCTGTTCTCAGGTTTATTTGGGAGTTTGGGGGGGAGGTCTTGAGGTGATTTGACAACTCATGATACTTTTCTTTATGAAATCACCCTGAAGCTCAGGGAACAAATGGGAGAAATCAGGAATGATTACATTCTGTGCTCTCGTTGTCTTTATTAAGGTTTGGTCAAAGCCAAGTCGGTCAAAGAGTGTCCAGAGCGAGAGTAGCTCCGGGAACTCTATCTTCAGCACAGACAACTATGATTAGGTAAAACATCCAGTTATTATGAAGAAGGAAAGGGAAAGGATAGGCATAATTTTGCTTTAGGAACCTTTCATTCACATCAATGACCAATTTGTCTGGTCGCTGAATGGTTCTACAATTTCTTTATTAGGAACCACGTTTCTAAAATGTCATAAGTGGATGATGTATCCTTTGATGCATGTACATTCTGTGTGGGGACCCTTCCTTCATTCCTGTATAAAATAAAACTAATCACCATTTGGAAGATATCTTGCAGAGAAAATCTATCATAATCTCAAATTAATGATCATCTCTGTTCTCAGGTTTATTTGGGAGTTTTGGGGGGAAGTCTTGAGGTGATTTGACAACTCATGATACTTTTCTTTCAAATCTTTCAGATCTTTCCAATCAAATATTCCCTCTCTTTTCTGCCTGGATATAATTTTGTGGATACCTCTATTTATGACATATATGACCTTTTGCCTTCAATGATGGATCTACTCATCTTCCTTGTCTTCCTGTCTCCTAAGTAATGCGTAGGCAAGGGTGCAAACTGATATATTTGTAAGTGCCTTGAAGGCACTTAGTACAGAGTCCTCCACTTAGTATGTGCTCTCTTGGTAACAGTGAGCTGTTCAATGACATAAACTCCAGAGAACAATAGATAGGGGCCCCTTTGCTTATATCCATGGGGAAGAGGAAAGTTGGGTTTCTGGGGCATCGATTATCAAAGGTGGGGGGAAGACTCGTGTCATAATGCTTTCTAAAATAATGGCATTGACTGAATAACTGATAAGCTCAAAACCAGCGTATAAAGAATGACCCTGTCTTTATTGTTCATTGATGACTGAAGCTTTCTGCTGAGGACAAGATTAGGACAGATAAATAACTTCTGATGGGAGATGAAGGGGTTCCTTCTTTAGTTTTTCTTCTCTTTTCTTTTTCTATCAGATCTTGGCAGGTAATTGAGACCTGGATTCAGAACAGAGAAAAGTTTAGAGATTAAAACTGTCCAGATTTCTGGGTAACAAAGAAGAGTGACTTTTAATTGCATCTTGATGAGACCACTTTGACGTGTTAAAATGTATTGCTTTTGCTGAAGTCTGCATGCATTGTTTTTCTTTAAATGTATTTGCATGAACTCAAGAACTTCAAATGCTATCCTCTCTAAATTAATCCTAGCCTGTTTTATCAGTTTGTAAAAAACATTTTTGCAGGGATTTATCATTTAAAAAATTTTAAAAATATTTATTGTTGAAAGTATTACATTGGTTTTAAATATCTTTATTGTTGAAAGTATTACATTGGTTCTCTTTTTCCTCCCATTAACCTCTTCTAGCCTGCTCCTGCCTCCTCCCCCTGACCACCCCTCCCCCAAGCCCTCACCACCCATTGTCTGTGTCCATAGGTCATGCATATATACATACAAGTTCATCGGTTGATCTCTTCCCAGGGATTGATTTTTTGATTGTGGGTGGTGGGATGGTTGCAAATTGTCACATTTTAAAATTGAAAGGAGCTTAGATGTAGTCAAATCCACCTTCTTCCAAAGAGATGTGTGGCATGAAGCCCAGGAAAGTGAAGTGACAGTCCTGTTTCAGTGGATTGTTCGGGAGTAAAATATTTTCAAACTCGTACCCAAGTCCTCCTTTAGTTCTATCTTATTTCACGTATTTTTCATATGTTTCTCTGTTGCCTGGTAATCTTCTCTAATGTGGGTATTTTATTTATCCAACTAAATTGTAAATTTTTCAAGGATTCCATATTTTTGACTTATTTTGACCTCTCACAAACAATCCCAATGCTTTGAACATTGTTATTCACAATAGGTCACACTTTAAAGATTAATGATGGCCGTGGGCAGCATTTGTTTGCACAAATTGCTGTGGGTGAAGAAATAAAGAGTTAGAAAACTTCACTTAAAAGGAGAAAAAAAAACCATTAGAAGCAAGGGCTCAGTTCCCTGCCCAGCTTCTTCATTGGAAGGCTAGGTGGCACTTCCAATTTCTGAAATCACCCTGAAGCTCAGGGAACAACTGGGAGAAATCAGGAATGATTACATTCTGTGCTCTCATTGTCTTTATTAAGGTTTGGTCAAAGCCAAGTCGGTCAAAGAGTGTCCAGAGCGAGAACAGCTCCGGGAACTCTATCTTCAGCACAGACAACTATGATTAGGTAAAACGTCCAGTTATTATGAAGAAGGAAAGGGAAAGGATAGGCATAATTTTGCTTTAGGAACCTTTCATTCACATCAATGACCAATTTGTCTGGTCGCTGAATGGTTCTGCAATTTCTTTATTAGGAACCACGTTTCTAAAATGTCATAAGTGGATGATGTATCCTTTGATGCATGTACATTCTGTGTGGGGACCCTTCCTTCATTCCTGTATAAAATAAAACTAATCACCATTTGGAAGATATCTTGCAGAGAAAATCTATCATAATCTCAAATTAATGATCATCTCTGTTCTCAGGTTTATTTGGGAGTTTTGGGGGGAAGTCTTGAGGTGATTTGACAACTCATGATACTTTTCTTTCAAGTCTTTCAGATCTTTCCAATCAAATATTCCCTCTCTTTTCTGCCTGGATATAATTTTGTGGATACCTCTATTTATGACATATATGACCTTTTGCCTTCAATGATGGATCTACTCATCTTCCTTGTCTTCCTGTCTCCTAAGTAATGCGTAGGCAAGGGTGCAAACTGATATATTTGTAAGTGCCTTGAAGGCACTTAGTACAGAGTCCTCCACTTAGTATGTGCTCTCTTGGTAACAGTGAGCTGTTCAATGACATAAACTCCAGAGAACAATAGATAGGGGCCCCTTTGCTTATATCCATGGGGAAGAGGAAAGTTGGGTTTCTGGGGCATCGATTATCAAAGGTGGGGGGAAGACTCGTGTCATAATGCTTTCTAAAATAATGGCATTGACTGAATAACTGATAAGCTCAAAACCAGCGTATAAAGAATGACCCTGTCTTTATTGTTCATTGATGACTGAAGCTTTCTGCTGAGGACAAGATTAGGACAGATAAATAACTTCTGATGGGAGATGAAGGGGTTCCTTCTTTAGTTTTTCTTCTCTTTTCTTTTTCTATCAGATCTTGGCAGGTAATTGAGACCTGGATTCAGAACAGAGAAAAGTTTAGAGATTAAAACTGTCCAGATTTCTGGGTAACAAAGAAGAGTGACTTTTAATTGCATCTTGATGAGACCACTTTGACGTGTTAAAATGTATTGCTTTTGCTGAAGTCTGCATGCATTGTTTTTCTTTAAATGTATTTGCATGAACTCAAGAACTTCAAATGCTATCCTCTCTAAATTAATCCTAGCCTGTTTTATCAGTTTGTAAAAAACATTTTTGCAGGGATTTATCATTTAAAAAATTTTAAAAATATTTATTGTTGAAAGTATTACATTGGTTTTAAATATCTTTATTGTTGAAAGTATTACATTGGTTCTCTTTTTCCTCCCATTAACCTCTTCTAGCCTGCTCCTGCCTCCTCCCCCTGACCACCCCTCCCCCAAGCCCTCACCACCCATTGTCTGTGTCCATAGGTCATGCATATATACATACAAGTTCATCGGTTGATCTCTTCCCAGGGATTGATTTTTTGATTGTGGGTGGTGGGATGGTTGCAAATTGTCACATTTTAAAATTGAAAGGAGCTTAGATGTAGTCAAATCCACCTTCTTCCAAAGAGATGTGTGGCATGAAGCCCAGGAAAGTGAAGTGACAGTCCTGTTTCAGTGGATTGTTCGGGAGTAAAATATTTTCAAACTCGTACCCAAGTCCTCCTTTAGTTCTATCTTATTTCACGTATTTTTCATATGTTTCTCTGTTGCCTGGTAATCTTCTCTAATGTGGGTATTTTATTTATCCAACTAAATTGTAAATTTTTCAAGGATTCCATATTTTTGACTTATTTTGACCTCTCACAAACAATCCCAATGCTTTGAACATTGTTATTCACAATAGGTCACACTTTAAAGATTAATGATGGCCGTGGGCAGCATTTGTTTGCACAAATTGCTGTGGGTGAAGAAATAAAGAGTTAGAAAACTTCACTTAAAAGGAGAAAAAAAAACCATTAGAAGCAAGATAAATACGACAAGGACTTTTTAAAACCGAGAATAATTTCCTTTGTTCTTAACGTTTTTGAAATTGGACTAACGGTAGAGGGAATAAAGGATGCAGATAAAGTAAATTGCTCTAAATAGCTGTAGTTCAGAGCAGTGCTAGAGAAATATCTTCAAAGAGGGTTTAGAAAATGGGAAGAAATTAGTCTTTCCTGCTGTGTGTGCACACTGAGTGGTGGAATGCAGGGATTAGCAAAGGAAATGGGAAGACCTGGCGGCGGCCTCCCCAGCCTTGTCTGGCTGTCAGAGCTGGTTAGCAAAAGCTGGACTTTGACATGAAGGGTTCAGAATCATCACAGGTCACTAGAAGGACCCTGTTAAGAACCCAGAGCTGTTTGGGATCTAACTACAGTGCACCTGATACATAATTCAGGTAGTCCGAAGTGTGCCTGGGTCTAGAAGACTTCCACTGTGCTTTTTCATCTTTCTCTTTAATATCAACCTTGGCCTTTTCTTCTATTCTATTTGAATCTCTCTCTCTCTCTCTCTCTCTCTCTCTCTCTCTCTCTCTCTCTCTCTCTCCCTGCTATCATCTCTATCTCCATCTGTTTCTGTCTCTTTATCTTTTGTCAAGAAAGGCCATTTAGGGAGCCCAATGTTTGGTTTTCTCTCTGCTACATTTTGCCTTCAATAACTCAGAAATATAGTTGGAAATGAGGAGCATTGTTTATTTCAGTAATGGTAGCTCTTTCCTTTGAATGGAACTCATTTCTTCCTGAATTTTTGTCTCAATAAGCCATAGGATTTTCCAGGTTTTAAGGCTGGTAGAACCATGATAGGCAGTGTACAAGTCATCTAATATCAATCGAGCATAATTAGAAAGTTATTTTAGTTAAATTAAGAAATCATTAAAATATTTAATTGTGACTTACACACACACACACACACACACACACACACACATTTAAGTGGAAATGAATTTGCCAAGCTTTTGATGTAGTGCCCGGGTAATTGTCTGCATATGGAACCACTGATTGAATTAATATTGTTTTCTCCACCAGATGCATCAATTCTGATTTCCTGTTTGCTTTGTTATATTTGAGTAAAACCTTTAAGCACATGGAGAGTAATCTGAGTGTAGAATCATAACAGATTTTTAAGATTCTGTTTTCTCCATCTCCATCTCCACCCCTCCCCCCTAATTTGCCAGCAACTGCAGCTGATTTGCCATTCATGTTTTTCTAAACCATTCAACTAGGTTTCCATAGGAGTAACCCCCTTTTGGTACTCTTATTTTATTGCTTTACACAATATGTGTTGTTATTATATAATTACAGTACAAAAGCATAATATGGTTTGGATCTCTTGGTAAACAGTCAAGAGCATGTGTGAAAGTACTTGAAGAGTACCTGAGCAGCCGCTAACAACTAGTGCATCATGGTGCAGCCTGTATTTCATTAGTGCCTGAGAGCACAGAGATTTCTGTTATATTGATCAAGATATTGATCAAGTGAAATATTGGTAAGAAACTTTCTGCTACATATAGGCCACCTACTATATATCTAAACTGTGTAAAATTGGGTAAATTACTTAAACATTTTATGCCTCAATTTCTACATCACAAAAAGGGTAATATGACAATAATGTCCATCTCATAGGGTTGCCATGAGAATTAAATGAGTTGGCAAACCTCAGCATTGGCCTTGTGCATTTCATTGTTTCACACAGCACTCAGCTTGTTAGCTATTATTATTCTGACTTTGATCCTTGGTAGGCTATGGCAGTGTCTCTAGAAAATTTTTTAATTATTGACTCTGATAAGGAGGTTGTTTATATTTTTCCCCCTAAAGATCGCCTTCGTTCATAACATTTTAATACCGTAGATGTGTATGTGTTTCTGTTCCACATGGAGGGTCATACACTCTCATAGTATCTAAGGTTTTCTTCTCTATCCCCCAAGTCTCAGTTTTTACCCATCAGAGATGATTTCGCCCTTGTTGAGAATGCATGATCTATTGGATTTCAGATGGTGTCTCCCCCACCCAAGGCATCAGGGCACCATGTTAGATTGGGGTTGACTCTTGAAAATAAAGGGTTGAGCAAGCTTTGGCTTGGGAGTTTACTCTCTCCTCCCATGATGTTTCTCACCTGAGATAGATGCTTAGATTTGAGAGTTATTGACTTAGAGAACCCAGTAAAGGATTGAGGCACATCAATGATTTTTAGAGTCTGAAAAGGTAATTAGAGTCAGTTATTACTACATTTCTTAGCAATCACTTAGCAGTTTTCATTTTTTGTTAATGGAGTGTCATTGAAGATCGGAAGTCATTATTCTTTGGCCTGAAAAGTAAGGAGTGGACGGATTCTTGGAACTGCTTGGGGTGTGACCCTGGCACCCGGGGAAAGGTTTTCAGCTTCAAGAATGAGAATTGGTTCTGGGGAGGCCTGGAAGCTGAAATTAGGTTCAAAATGAATGTCCAGAAGGAACACTTGCCTTCAGTTTATGAGCAAGTTCTGCTGCGAGAGTTCAGTGTGAAATGTTTCTTAATCACCTTGTCTTATGATTGGGTGTGGCATATTTTTATTTTACACTCAATAATGAACTACTGAAGTGAGCATATCTCTGTATTTTTATAAGGACAGCAGTCAGATTGGATTAGGGCCCACCCAAATGACCTCATTTTAATGGAATCACCTCTTTAAAGACCCTGTATCCATGTACAATCACATTCTAAGATACTGAGGGTTAGGATTTAAACAAATGAGTTTAGGGGGACACAATTCAGTCTATAGTTATCTGTCTTGTAATGGGCATTCAACAATGAATGAATGAATGAATGAATGAATGAATAAATGCTTTGCTAAATTTGTTAAACAAGCAATTCTATCAATACTTGTGAGTTATTAATACATTTATTAAAATGTGTATATTTCTTTCAGCCTAAAGATATGCTTAGGAGATAAAATTCCATGGTGATGTTTCTGTTTATTCAGTGACTCATCATGTGAAGAGCCACACCATCAGCATCTTGCCCAGGCATTGGTAGGGCCCTGGGCAAGGTTTAGAGAGAGGCCCACCATAGCTCTCATCTTTCAGAAGTTATAAATCTTATCAACACATTGTGTAAAAAATATGCCCAGTTCTCCTGTGACTGCTGTCTTTCTGAATGTTCTAGAAGGCCAGGCAGGTTTGGCTTTAGAATTCTCAAAGTCTACCAAATTCTGCATGGAAAGTGGCAGCGCTAAGAGAACTATTCCCAAGCCTCTTTCCCCTTCAAGGAGGTTCCATCCTGAACATTAAGGAACCTTATACGCGTGCGCGCGCGCGCACACACACACACACACACACACACACACACACACACACACACTACCAGATCTGTATTCTTCTTTCCCCAGAAAACGGGCCTACAGGTGTCATAACCTTGGAAGGAAGGACCCAGGGGAGAAAAGCTCACCCTGGCCCAGGGAGAAGGTTTGGGCAGGAAATTCTGGAACCTGGCTTCTTAGAACATAGTCTAGAAGGGGCTCTCCAGGCTTCAGACAATCATGCCACATTGGCCCTGAGCACACCTTGCCCTAATGGGAGGGTGTGGGTCATAGTTCTGAGGTGGTACTGCAATCGGTTTCAGGTCCTACAGGATCTCTCACTGGTTTTAAGATTATTCCCATGATCTCATTTCCATGAAGAGTGAGCAAGAGAGTCAGGGGGACAGAACATTCTGAGAAAACCCTGGCTCAGGGCTTGGCCACATCCAAAGGCAGCTAAGGGAGGCATCTCAGAATTTATTTCATTAAGTCTTGACCCTACATACCCCTAGTTCCTGCACCCATGAGTCTCCCAAAAGACCATCTCATCACTTGTGAGAAGACTTGGGTCTAGAAATGTGTGAACAGTTTTCAGGTAAAAGCAGGCAATGGGTGGGCTCCTGACTCCTGGAGGGGGGCCCAACCTGACCTGTACAGATGCTCATTAACGACATAGCCGTGTCAAACCCTGGACTGCACAGCACTAGTGACGGTTTTGTCACCAGGCTCATTAAAAGCCATTTTTTCAAATTATCTCTGGTTGTTTGCCAGGCTGTGCTTATAGCTTCAGAAAAACAAGTCAATGCTTTTCTTCACCACATAGAATAATTTATAGGTAGGGAGCAATTTGCTTGCTAGGGAACAGCGGGTGGTCTGTGCCTTTCCCAGTGGAAGGGCCATTATGCTAAGCAGGGTGGCAGGCTTTAGCTCTCCCCGCAGAAGGGGAGAAACTCTTGGAATTAATCACATGGCTGTCTTTACCCAGCATGGGTATCTCACTTTGTCATCAAAGTTCTCATTTAGTCAAAGCTGTATTTCTTTTATTTATTTATTATTCACACATCAACTATTTCCAAAGAGAATTTGGGACAGCTGCAAAAATGTGCGTGTGTGTGTGTGTGTGAGTGTGTGTGTGTGTGTGTGTGTGTGTGTGTGTGTGTGTGTGGTGTGTGTGGTGTGTGTGTGTGGGGGGGTATATATTGGAAAGGCTCTCTAAAATGGGACATTGGAAGAGAAAATTCTGACAGGATGAGTTTGGAGCTTGCTTTTCCCGCTTGAGTTCATCCCTACTTTCCTGGCCCATTATCTTTCAACTCTGCTGTACAGATTCAAGTGGGTGCTTTTGTTCTTTCTCTCCTCTCACCATACTGCCCCTATTCTAGTCCATTTAAGTGTTGGCTTTCCATTGCCCTTACGAAAAAAATCCAGGTGGTTTTCCAGAGTCCTGGGGCTTGGTTTGAGCAGGCCCATCAGAACCTAAGGTCCTCCACTCACCCCACTCCTCACAGGACATCCCCAGCCATATTGGTCCTTCCTGGAAGAGGTTAGGTTTTTTCTTCCCTTTTACCTTTGCACCTGCTCTTAGGCCTGACTGTTGCCTTAGCTCTCTCTGCCCATGCATCTCCCTCCCTTGTCTTGGATTCCCAGCAACAGTTCCTCATTCTCTTGGAATCCCATTGTCCCTGATGCCATTCTTGACCACCATATCTAAACCCACGCCCCCACCCTCCCAATATTCTCTGTCATATTTCATAATGTCCTTCAAGACATGGCTCACAGATTTGTTATTTCTAGTCTTAGGTCTGTTGTTTTCTTTAACTTTTTTTTCAGTCTTGCTTTCTAAACATCACTTTCCTCACAGTAGGGACTTTGTCTTGTTCACCTTGCAGCTCAAGGGCCTTGCAACGCGTCAGGCACAGAGCGGCCATCCAACAATTGTTTGATGAATGAATGAATGTGAAGTTCTAGATTTTTGGAAATGGTCTGATACACTTCACTTGATTTAGAAGGTCTGCCAAGAATATTTGCCCATTGAGAGAGGGTAACATTGTAATCCAAAGAAAGTGGTTTATAATTATAAAATTTTAAGTGTCAGGGAACTAGTGAGAAAAGGTTTTAGAGGCAACAGAGGCCAATTGTGATTTTAGCTAAGGAAGGAATAAGTAATCCAATCTGATCTCAATCTCAATCACTTTAATC